CTTCAGCAATCAGGAGCTCCTCAGTTGCTCATAGAAAATCCCACCTTGGAGTTTACAAAGACTTATGGATAGAAAAGCCACACTAAGTAATTTACTACACCGCAGACACCAAAGCAGATAAAAAATTCTAAAAGACATGGTTTATTTGCCATCCAGTTGATTACAATCTAGTCAAATAAAAAAATTCATACCTAAAGGCACTCAATAAGATATGCTATGAAAAGTCCAACCGGTAAGTGCTATGGCAGTTAAGAGTCAAATCAAATGAGATTTTTTTAACCACTACACACAGAAAACCACCAATTTAAACTTGATTCTACTTCCAAAAATATCTTTCAGTTGAAATCTCCTTAGACGACAATTGTAATAAACCTTCACTTTGACCAGTGCTATTTTTCATACTACCTCACATCTTTACATAGTGCAGAAGCCAGATTGTCCTTTCAAACTAGTGTATTCATCTGGGCAAAACAAGTTGCAGTTTAAAAAAAAAAAAAAAAAAATGGCTGATAACAACAGGTGCTCCATTCTTGCTCATATAAAACCCCAGGACAGTTCTAGGAGGAAGGTCTGTTCCACACAGTCATACAGGGGCCCAGGCTGGTTGGCTCTGCCATTTAAATACTAGTTTTCAAAGTCACCCAATTTACTCAGAAAGGGAAGGTCATCCAGTCTACTCAGAAAGGGAAAACAGTATGAGGAAACCCACATGGAAGATTTTTATGAGCCAGGCCTAGTCACGGTACTCACCACTTCTATTTAATTGCATGGGTAAAGAGCTAGCACATGGCTCACAGCCAAAGGCTGAAGAAGGCTGGGAGATAATTTGACTGTGTGCCAGATTTTGATTAACAGATAGCATTCTCAAATTCAAGCAAAACAGATGGCATTCTTAACCTCAAACAAATAAGATCATGTCTCTCCTTTGCTAAAACTCTTCAGTTGTTTCCCACTGTACTCACATTTCATCCCACACTCCTTACTGTGGTTTTTAATGACCTGCACCATCCGCCTTAGCCTGCCAAGCTCAAGTAGTGCCATTCTCTTCGACTCGTGGTACCCAGGCTTAGTGACCTTTGTTCACTTTTGTTTTTCCTTTGATATTCCTGAGATATTATAGCTCAAGCCTTTGAACATGCATTTCACCCTGCTCA